AAGATCTTGGATAGTGAAGCACACAAGGCAAAATGATGCCTTTAATGTGACAACCACTGATCAACATTTATAATGGAATCAAAAATACTTCAAATGAACGTTAACTTGTAAAATATACACATGCATCACATGTTTATTTAGGATAGGCAAAAGCATTACGTAAGAAAAGAAAAAATATGTCGCTACAATTGTAACGATAATAAACATCATAGAACTGAATCAAACAAAAACTTCAGAACAAACCCTTATGGAGATCCTGACTTAAAAACATATCATTACAGTTACATTAAAAAACATGGTCCAATTAATAACGAACAGAAGCGGCACTGTTATCTAAAGGAAATGCAGAGAACAAGTGATCTTTTTCCAGGGACTGTTGGCAATTTAACATTTCTGACTTGCACAATTAGGGCAGTTGTTAGGGGAGTAGCAGTGTGCTGCTTCAGCTAGTGCCATTAATTACACAACTGTGCTGCAAGTTGGCCGACAGCTCCCCCAACACCAGAGCACTTCCAGACAGGTTATTCCCAGATACTCCCTCCTGGTGCTCATGGATTGTTCAGCCACAGCGTTCATTTAAACATTTAACTTTTTTTCTGAAATGACTTGACTGCATATCAAAAGAAAGCATGTTATTTTTTTTCTAAAGACCTTGGTTTGATACCCCCTTGGGTACACGTTGTTCAGAATATCAATACGGTCACTGTCTGGTCCAAACTCAACTATTTACTGACCGCAGTCATACAGCTGCAATATTGCTGCAAACAGCAAACAAACAAATCCTATGAACAATAGTGAAGAAATATGTGGAGGTTATCAGTTGCATGTGAGTAAGTGAGTTTTTATTAATTGTCACTTTGAACAGTACTCCAGTTATATCACAGCATATCAGCATGTTGTAGGAGGAAAGCCCAAAGTGATGCAGGTCTTAGTCGATTACCACTGTGGTGAAACCCATGAGCTAGGGTATTGGGTTGACAAACCTAGAAACGAAATCAGGGTGGCTGGATTCTAACCACCAATCATTGACTTCTGACATGCCTAGAGGATGCAACTCGGCATAGGGAATAATAGCGGAGCCTTCGGTAACTGGGCCATATGAATTATTAACATTGACATATGAATTATGCAATACTGTGTCACCCATAATGCAACTTGTCCACACGCTTGCACTTGTTCATGGAATAATTACAAATACCTGAATTTGCAATTCTCAAACGGACTATAGGGAGTACTGTAATCATTATGAATAAAAAATCCATTCCTTTGACTCTCAATTAGTTTCTGTCATAAAAATAAATGTTAGCATTACATAAACAACTTTCCCATGCTATCAACCCCTCACTGTCAAAATTGTTTTAATGAATGGCAATTCATATCAAAGAATACCATCATGTCACAAATGGAAAATTCGCCCCAAGACAATATCCAAGCTCTTAAATTGTTCCAACTTATTATATTTCGTGAGTGTGGTTAATGATTGACATCATCATAAACTGTTCAAACTCATCAGGAATATAAGGGAGATAACTCCATGTGGGAAGAGCTAAACCAGAAGTGATCAAGTGGACAGCACTTGATGTGAAGAGCTTCATCATGTCAATGCTATTGGTGGTATGGTGACTTTCACAAGGCTAGCATCATCCCTGCAGCAAAATACTAGGACATCGTAAGGCCAAACGTCTATGGTTGACAGGGATTTAAGGAGTAAAACTGCAATAAGATGCAAGATATAGTTTTAAAAACTTGAATATTTTCTATTTTATTTTGAATGATTATGAAAGACTTTTATGGCTTATTAAAAGAAAAAAAAGCAACCTTTTTTGGAAAAACAGTTTGTATCCCTTGAATAACTACAATTTCATTTTGACAGAAAAGTTTTTTCTTTCCATTACATGTTTACAGTGGACAGAGACCTTTCATCCATTGATATTTTCCTGCTTCTTCCAAAACAAGGCGGACAGGCAACTATATATAAATTCAAATAATCTCTATTCATTTCCTGCTTTATGGCTTTTGGCAGTGGTCGGTCGATTCGGAAACCAAAAAAGTGTCGTCTTAGTGACACAGGAGAAGAAAATAAGCTTCGGCGCGAAGTGCTTGCAGGAATATTAATGGTTTGTTGCATGTCATGAATTATTACGATTTCTTATCAGAAACAGTTAAAGCTTGGGAATAAACCTCTCCATCAAGCATTTAGAAGGATGTTGGAAATGTTCACATGTTGAAATTATATTTTAAACCCTGTAAACTTGATAAATCACACAGAATGGTTTATGCAAAATGATATGGAAAATGATACTTATAACTTGAAATTGCACAGCAAACTAGTTCCAAACCAAACCTTTGTGCCATTCTTCTAATGCAAGAACAACAGGACGATGGCGCCTCATTGGAGATCAGGTAATGTTCTTCACAGTCACTACAGCCGAAACTATTAGACAAAGACACGGCAAATCAAAGAGTACTGGCACACAAAGCCATAAAACTGTGGTCAATGGCTAGATAATTGAACCTAGGGTGTTGTCATAGCAAATCAAGGAAAACACAGCATGATATATGAGAACACGGCAATCCAAAGCCTCTATGTTCACCACCATCATACCAGACTGGTATTCTTGGTATTTTGCAGATGTCGCAGGAGTTCAGGATTGTCCGGTATGGCAGTGTAGCTACCTTTCTGTTTTTCGAAGTCACTATGGTATTCTCTCTGCAAAAAGTCATTGCCAACATTGTGACACCAGATATATTCATACCTTTCAAACATAGCACAAATCAAACCTTTAAGTCTAAAAATTGATTATTCAGCTTATTTTTGTGTGATTAATTCATTCATACTTTTGTGAACATACATGTGGTGATGTACCAAGGTTGCATATTCGAAAGGCCATTACCCACTTCATCTGTGAGTCGGGGAAAGGGATATCTTTCATAATTTTGAAACAAGGTTTCAAATTTGATGTCTTGAACTAGAATGCTAGACAGTTTACTGTTTTCACAATCATAAAATCCTTCTGTCTTTTCTCTCCTATTATACATATATAAACTTGAAATCCTACTTGAACCACTAAAAGTATGAAATTTTATATAATTCAGAGAAGGATAGTATTCATGAAACACCATTCCCTAGAGAGGACACTTCCAGAAGACAAACAAACTCCCCAAAGATGTATAAGTGTACAGGTCGCAAGCTACACACTTTCTTGTAACGTCAGTGCACCACTGTACATAAAGCATCTCTGATCTTTGACTCATTTTGTCAAGAAATGTCACTATTCAAAGCGTCAACTCTAAAAACAAGAAAACGGTTCCAAGAATACCAGAAGCCAATTAGGCAGTCTTAGTGATAGTAGCATCTCCAAAGTCACCAATAAGACTGCATTACTTGAAGACTGGATATACGTTTGTTGACTATCCTGTCCACGCAGGCTAGCCTCGGACAGGTTAAGCCCAATCAGTGACAAGGAAATACCCTAAGTGCTTCTTCTGGAGCAAAAGGTCTGCTCCTTTGCTGCAACTTAATCTGATTTCTGGGAAATCCAGACAGTTAATTCAACCAATACACATATCCAATGGCTTTCCTGAAAGTCGGTCTGTCATTTATTCCATTAAGCTATGACCAATACCGAAGACATCTTCTCTGAATAACATAAAAGAACATACAACGCTGTTACAGATGATGGATACATATTTCACAAGATGACAGGTCGTAAAGAAGTACTAAGATTGGACAGAGTGACATTCCAATGCATTTGAAACATGTTTCTCAAACACCACTGTACTCATCTGTACACTAAAAGTCATAATCAAGGCCAATCTGGCAATAACTGATCGTCCTAATTACATAGATCTATACAGTGTTTAAATTTCACACAAGTCATTCATCACAAATTTTTTACCACATTAATGGGCGCCATTCTTTTGCATGTTTAGAGGCTTGTCCCTTTCTCTATGGATTTGTAACTACATTCTATCAATATATTTCAAAACAATCTGACTAATGCACTGTCTCTGAAAATAATATGCATTTAGAGAACACATGTATCAATCATTCCATGCTAATGGTATATTAGGATGAGCAGATTATCTTCTCGCATCTCAAGAGATTCCTGCAATAGCAAATCTTATTAACAACATTCTAGAACTCAGTCAACAGTCCGAATGATAACCATATACAAAGCCATAGCTGTCCAATATATGTCAGTAATCCAACAAGAGTCTTTCCGACATAGGCCTCAAGGGCCAAATGTCAAGGCTATTTTAATATGAGAATAATCTGCACCGAAAGATATCAGATAATGTGGCAAAAACTGTGGAGATCAATTCCTGTTTTGTGTGGTGACGGTTACAAGTAGAGCATGGCATGCTTACCCTTTCGTGAACACCTGGTGTCATCATCCATACTTTCAGTGATCCATTCATATAACTGTCATCACTATTGTACCCCTTATGCCCTATGGAATCTGTTAGGGCAGATATTCCAGACTGAATATTCTCTGGCATTGACATTATGAATTTGTTGGAAGTGTTTGACAATTCACAGGAATTATTTACAACCACACGAAACAAGAACAAGAAATTTCTCCTACAGTAGGGTCTCAACAGGATTTTTACGTTCAGTTTAATTTCAATAATCACCTGACTGCCACAGCTGCAATATATGTCCTATACAAAACACTGAGCGCTTTTGATGAACTCAGACAAAAACAGGTTTTATATTGCTTATACGTGAGAAAATGCTAAAATACTTTTGAACTCATAAAATGGACAACTTTCACATTGCATAGGGTTATCAAAAACTGGGAATGTGACAGCAGGTATGGAAACAGCATGGTGAACATGTATCGGCTGAAATATGACACATAATTATTTCATATATATAAATAAAATGATTGTTGGGAAATAATTTGTTCTTTAATATACTGAATGTAACAAAATCATAATGATAATGAAGAAAGTGAATTGAGAGGAAACATGCTGAATATTGGAGAGATACTTACATTACTTTGGATTTTAGTATTTTCAGCAATACGTCTACTCTCAGGGGTGTCTGCAACTGCTGTGTGCTTCGTCTGTGGGTAATGTCTGAAATAAAACAGATTCATCATGAAATATACTTCGTCCCTAAGCATCACAGGCCCTAATTTCCTAAGAATTGGTCACTTTTTCTCCTTTCCGGTTCCAACCATTACCACAGGGGCCAGCATAAATTGTTCACCCATTGTATTCATTTGGGGTAGTGTACCAAGGTTGGAATGACAAAATTTCTCTTGTATGTATGTGTTATTTAACAGTACTGCCTAGGGCTGATATAATGTATTGGCAATAAAATTGTATTTCAATATATTGGGATACAGCTTTCTGTATTGCGATATATACTGGGGGATAAGCGTTAAGACACTGATTGCACATCAGTATTCGACGTATTCGTATTCGACGTAATAAGCACCCAGGGCGCTCTCAAAATTCTAAATAGGGGGCTCTTATTAGAATATAATTTTGGGGAGAAACTAAAATTAAGGGTGCCTATAACACATGAGTGCGTATTATACACAAATATCTCTTGTGTACATTGATCAATAGAAAGGGGTGCTAACAAGGATTGTTAACTAGCCAATATATTAGCATTATTGCTGTGAGCGCTTATTATGTCGAATACGGTACAGATAATATTTTCAACATGCTCAAATATAATTTACAATGTCAAAGTTAGCATGGTCAGTTGCCAACATTTTGTAGTCATGGATACAGGGGTGATAACAATGTGAGAGAAAAATTATTTCCATGTTTCGGCCTTTTGTCAATCAATATCAAAGGCTAACATGATTTGAGAATGCATTTCTGTGTGGATTTTAAGGTAAACATTACAAATGATGAAACTTGTTATTTTTTGGTTAACCAATATACTGGAACAAACAAAAAACATTGCAATAAATATCATTTGAAAAGCGTACTGTAGTTTACTGGTATACCAGTATTACTGATCAGACCTGGTGAAACAGATTTATCTCATGGGATATGTATGTCATACTGATAATGGTTGTTGATACATAGTGCAGTATACAAGTAACACTCTGCAGGTCTAGTACTACCGAATGAGGGGCGGTCGCGTAGCCCAGTGGTTAAAGCGTTCCCTCGTCACGCCGAAGACCCAGGTTCGATTTCCGACATGGGTATAATGTGTGAAGCCCAATTCTGGTGTCCCCCGCTGTGATATTGCTGGAATATTGCTAAAAGTGGTGTAAAACCATACTCTCTCACTCACTCACTACTACCAAATGAAACACACAGCACTATCTTATAGGCTGGCTATGTCATATTAATAATGGTTGTTGATAATGATCTACAAAATGGCAAAACATCCCAAAATAATTAACACAAAGACCCATTCTCCAGGGAGTACTTTGAGGCCAAACAAGAAAAGTTCAGATTCTGTTCAAAAAAATAAATAGGTCAATTGGAAAGAAGGACTTAAAGAAAATGCATTTCAGTCTCAGACGTATCCTTGTATGACTGTGCGTGAGGTCAAAATACCTCTCCAACTGCTGCATATTTATAGGAAAGACATGAAAACAGAGTTTACTTTGCCAGGCCTGCCAATGAATTTTCACATAATGACTGAAAATGAATGAACATACTGTATTTGACAACTTTCACATACAAAACATGCCAATGTCTTAAAGAACTCTCCTCTGCTTTCTGTAATAAGTTTACAACTTGCATTAAAAAAGATTCCATCACTTCAGAATGCACTTTTTAAACAGACTAACGATTTGTCTCTGAAAATATTTAACATATGATTTGGGAAGAAACTAGCAACTACTTTAAAATGAAAAGGAGCCCCTGTGGGCTGGGAATGTCGGTGAAGTGATTACGTTTTCTTGCAGATGATAACTGACACTGTGGAAAAATCTTGTTCGATTTAGGGCTATAGTTGGGCAGAAAGGAAAATAATATGGTTCATGGACATTGAGACCGACTACTTCTTAAACTAAGCTCCGTTTATAGACACCCATGTGCAGCTGCACATTTCTTACAACAGGTGGGAAGAACAGTGGTTTTAAGGCAATTTCCTGTTCTCATTTTTAATAGGTTATTTCTATCAGCAATATTAAGACATGTGTCAGCATAATAAATGGCAAAGTAATCAGTGATCAGGAATGGAATTTTCTTCACGGGCCACTGGCCCCATGTTTACAAAATTAATGAGCCAGTTTGGGCAAGTGAGCGCCATAAATTTAATTCTATGGGCAATTGATAATTGCAATGGGCCATAAATTCAACATATCTTAAAAATTAAACTTTATCTAAAGCTATCTTCTGGTAGGCCTGAAGAATGTCAGTAGTGGTGTGATGTCTATGGTCTCTAGTGTCTTCATTGTGACCTATGGTCTCTAGTGTCTTCATGGTGACCTATGGTCTCTAGTGTCTTCATGGTGACCTACGGTCTCTAGTGTCTTCATGGTTACCTACGGTCTCTAGTGTCTTCATGGTGACCTATGGTCTCTAGTGTCTTCATGGTGACCTACGGTCTCTAGTGTCTTCATGGTTACCTACGGTCTCTAGTGTCTTCATGGTGACCTACGGTCTCTAGTGTCTTCATGGTGACCTACGGTCTCTAGTGTCTTCATGGTGACCTATGGTCTCTAGTGTCTTCATGGTTACCTACGGTCTCTAGTGTCTTCATGGTTACCTACGGTCTCTAGTGTCTTCATGGTGACCCATGGTACTTGGTTTGAATGTATGATGCCCAGTTGTCCTGGTATTGTTCACAAAACATTTTATCTTTCATATTTAACCTAGGCCAAAGCTTCTCCCCACTTTTTTTTGTAGTTTCTCTGTTCAGTTGGCATAGGTCCACTTTGATTTGGTATGTCGTCATCATGCATAATAGCATCTACATTCACAATGCAGACATCACATTCCCTATCACCACTATCTTTGTGTATAACGAAGGAAAACAATTTTTTTCTGTTTGAAATTATCTGTTGATGCTTTAAATCTTTTTCAAGGAAACATTTCATCAACAAATATCCCTGTGCCAACTTACGAACGAAATTGCTAAGCCACAAAGCATGTGGTGAAACTAGAATCGCTTTAAACAGAGATGCCAATCTTAATTGAAGCTTTGGAATAATCAGTGGGGTAAAAAAAAGCTTAATTTCATGTGAAAAAAAAGTAATGTTAATAGTAACTCATACAGGTTTTTCGCTTCTACATTTTCGATAGGCATAGACGTATGTGAAACATAGGTTTTTTTTGTTTGTCTGTTGTTTAATGCCACACTCAGCAATATTCCAGCGACATGACGGCAGTCTGTAAATAACTGAATCTGAGCCACACAATTCAGTGACTGAGATCATGAGCAACGAGCTACACCATGATGGTAGGTTGACGCGCAATCAACCAGGTCTCCTCGTCACTGAGCCTGAAGGTTACTGGGGATGATTCTACCCTAGAATTCAGCCTTAGAAATAATTTATATTTTCACTTGTCCACAAGAATGATCTGCTGCAGAGCTGCCATCTACATAATGGAAAAAGAGGTTTGTTTGTTTGTTGTTTAACGCAGCACTCACCAATATTCCAGCTATATGAGAGCTGTCTGCAAATAATCAAGTCTGGACCAGACAATCCAGTGATTGACATCATAGGCATCGATCTACGCAATTGGGATACGATAACATGCATCAACCAAGTCAGCAAGGCTAACCACCTGATCCCATTATTCGCCTCTTACGCCAAGCATAGTCACCTTTTACAGCAGGCATGGGTTGCTGAAGACCTATTCTACCCCAGATCTTCATGGGTAAACAGAGGTAGTCCAAATCTCACTAATCCTGAATTTTACCAGTCTCAGACTAGCCGACTCATGCTATTTTTGGACCCTGTAAATGCCCATTGGGGGAGCTCAGTAATGAGGTGACAGAAGACAATGGACAAAAGGCAACAGCATGAGCTGCTGGGGCAGAAGAAACATGTACTCACGCATTGCAATATGGAAGTTTATCATATCCCTTGTAGTTCTTCATGTTTAACGTCATATTGCAAACTTGACATTTAAAACATGCTTTGTGCCACACCTGCAACAGAAGAACAGTATTTTGAGCATACAAATGATAAACAAACTTACTCAAACATAAAAACCTAGCAGACTGGTTTAGAAGTAGTGAGTATGGTTTCATCACCACATTTAGCACCATTCTAACATAATCAAAGCAGGTGACGCCAGAATCAGGCTTCACATATTGTACCTATGTAGGGAATCAAACCTGGGCATTTGATAAAGCAAGCAAACACTTCAACCACTGGGCTACCTGCATGTTTTAGATCATTCTGCAGTTGGAGAAGTACTGATTAGGCTTCACTTCACATGTTAAGGGAAGCGTTTGAGTAGGGTCACTTATGTTTTGTTTGCTTGTTGTATAACACCGTACTCAGCAATATTCCAGCTATATGAGGGTCACTTATGACTTGTCATAGACAGATTCCAGCAGGGTGAAGGCAAGACTTACACAAAAACACCAGATTAACAATTGTAACAATTGTAACAGTATATAAAATGCATTACTCTTCTGCACTTGCAAGATCATAAAGAAAGCTTAACTGAACTTGTAAACAAATCGGATAGATCAAATCGTGAAAATAATGACCAAATACATTCAAGTAGATTTTTGTTTAAAGCCGCACTAAGCAATACTCCAGCTGTATGACAGCGGTCTGTAAATAATCGGGTCAGGACCAGACAATCCAATGATTGACATCATGAGCATAAATCTACGCAATTGGGATACGATGACATGCATCAATAAAGTTCCCATTAGTCGCCTCTTATGTCAAACATTGATTGCTGAAGACCAATTCTAACCCTTTAGCTAATGACAGACAGTCCATCTGTTGCGTATGTGAGCGAGTTTGGTTTAAGGCAGCGTTGGACAGTATTTTTAAGTCATATCACAGCGGGTCAGCTTGATTTGGGAAGAAAGCCCGAAGTGATGCAGGCCTTAGATGTTGACCATTACAATGAAACCCTAAAGCATAGGTATGAGGCTGACTAAGCTTGAAACATAATTGGAGCGAACCATGATTCAAACTGATGATCATAGGTTTCCGGCACGCCTTAGGGAGTCCAACTATTGATCTAGGAGTTGTTGCCAGTGATCGCCATTTGTGCCCAACTATTCATTGGTGTATCAAGGAGTTATTCTCCTTTCCACAGTCTGGCAGTGAAACACAACTAGGTCAACCATATGAAGACCAAGTTCTACCTGTAGCCTTATCCCCAGGGCAAGTGTGACATGAGTAGCACATACCGGTACATTCCAGGAGGACACAGAAGCTAATTCCAACAGGTCAGACCGCCAAAATAGATTCTTCAGAACAGATTCGGAAAAGAATCAGTTTACACACATCGTAAAAGTGATTGAAGAATTATTTTACAGAAAAGATTAGGGGGCACGTGTGACCAAGTCGTCGCGATTCACTGTGCATAGTTGCGTTCCTTGGGCACGCCAGAAACCTATGATTATGGGTTCGAATCCTGGTTTGCCCTGATTATGTTTCTAGGTTTGTCAGCACTATACCCATGCTCATGGGTTTCACAGAAGTTGCAAACATCCAAGACCTGTAACACTTTGGTCTTTCCTTCCACATTAAGCTGACATGCTGTGATATAACTGTAATACTGTTAAAAGTGGCCTTAAACCCAACTCACTCACTCACTCACACAGAACAGATTGGGAAAGAATCAAGTTTATACACATCGTAATAGTGATTGTGAAATGAATGGGTGTGTGTGCTGTTATCTGATTACCTGATAGATCACATATATTACCATGGTATAAAGCATTACCTTATGATTTGACATTGTTAGAATATACATATTTTCTATTATGCATATATTTTTAGTATGTAGAATAATATTGCCACTGTTCTTCATGGTATGTCATGCAATAAATACTTGATCTTATCCTACCTTTCAAACCATTGAACAAAGTACCACAATGTACCAATACTTAGACAATGTCTAATATAGCCTAAACAAATCTTGACCTAAAGAATTGGTTCCCAAACACATGCCACAAGTAGATTTGATGTTGCGCCTTCAGTGAGTGAGTTGGGTTTTAACAATATTCCAGAAATATCATTGTAAGGAATAGGTCTCAAAGCACCGATGTTGGGAATTGAACCCAGGTCTGAGGTGTGACTAACTGTGATTAACAAACACTGAAACCACTAGACTATGCCTCCTCCTCCCCCCCACCCCCCAAAAAAGCTTTCTCTCTCCCCCCTACCACCACTCTGATGCAGCCTTAGAGGTTGTACTGACCCTGGAGGTGATAGGTTACTGGCGGCCTCCAGAGTGGAGAGGTCAGACCACCGACAGTCATTGATCAGACAGTTAAGGCAATAAAGATGTACCTAGACTACAACTGCAGACAGAGTTTATGGCAACTTGCCATCCACAAATACATTTTTAGACCTCTTCAATCTACTATTCAGGTAAAACCATCTGGAGAATGTCAGTGCCGTGGTTTGATATTCCCTCAAGTGGTGGGTGGAGAGAGGTCAAGGACTTTTCAATAACTGGGCACAGAAAGATTTTGTTTATTTTTAAACACCACACTTAGCAATATTCCAGCAGTATGACGGCAGCCAATCTATTATCAAGTCTGGATCAGACAATCCAGTGATTGACATCAAAAAAAGAAAGAAGGCTATCCTAGGCACTAGGGCTGGGATGGGTAACTCGGGTACTCGTGTACTCGGGTCGGTGGGTACTGAGCAGGACCCGGGTACCCACAGGAATACCTGGACCCGTGGTTAGTCACATGACATATTGCTTTATGACAAAACTTATCAAAAACTCTATGGTCACACTACAAGTCACTAATGTTCCCATTTCTTTCTGACTATGCATGCATTCCTTCTGACGTTTGAAATATAGATAAAACTTCATGCAGTAAACTTCAGTGTATGCATGACCAGATCGTTTTATATGTGTATCTAAATACATTTTGCCAGAACTACGGTCAAACCTTTCCCAATCTGACAGTTTGTTCCTATCTCTTGAGGCCTACAGCGGATATCCGGGTTGGGTCGGGTAATAGGGGTTGGGTACCCGGGTAGTAAATGTTGAATAGTCCCAGGCACTGGGTAGAAGATCTAACATTTTTTTCAAGCTGTGTTTGGTTCCACCTGCAAAGCTTTTGTATGCATTTTGGGGCAGAGGTCTTTTTGCTGAACAAAACTTTCTATCTGTCTGTCTGTTTATAAGCTATTACCACAAACAGATAATTCCTACATCATGATCACATATACAAATGTACAAAAGTAAAAAAATACAATCATTAAACCTAAATGATGACAAGGTTTTCAATTCAGTTTTCACACTCACACACACACACACACATGTACGCACACTTACTTACTTACTTACTTACTTTGGAGATTTAACGAGCGCTTTCCGACTGATGCGTATTTCGCACACGGGCCCGGCCAGGCCATTTAATGTGTTTCCGAAAGGGGCGAAAGTGGTGTGTGCAACCCAAGAGGGGGCTTTAGGGGTTGCTTATATAGAATTTGGGAATTTTGAGATTTGGAATAGATGCCGATGGGGTAGGGGAGGAGAACTAAGGGAGCTGGGTATGGTGGATGTTTGTGTGTTTATGTAATTTTGATTTGGTGGATTATAGTGTTTTTAGATGCGTTTTATTAGTTCCATTTTGATTAAGAATACGCCTAAGGCCTTGAAGTTTTCTAGTTTATTTTGTGGGTTTAGTATTGCTTCTAGAGTGAGAGCCTTGTTTAGAATGATCAGTTATCTTGTTTAAGAGGAAGTGTCTCACCATACATGTAACAAAGTCTATGGTAAAAGTGGAAGCAATGGGTAAGTAATAGTCCTGTGCATCAAAACCCGTCACTGCTCCAACATCATTTTTATTTGTCCATTAAAGCTACAAAATGTAGAACAGGGCAATGCTGTATTGTCTATTTGCTTGTGGGTATATTTGGCATTTCAGAACTGGCAAGCTGGGTAGGTAAAGCTGGGCTCTGTATCGTATTATACTTATATATCCCACTGATTTACCCACCTGAACTAGAAATACAAGAGACCAGTGAAACAGCCTCATCGGTTTCATATTTAGATCTGAGCAGAAAGGTTCAGAAAACCATCCACAGAAGACTGTATGACAAGAGGGATGACTTCAACTTTTCAATAGTCAACTTTCCCTTTATGTCGAACAATATTCCAGCAGCTCCAGCCGTTGGTGTCTAGTTTGACAACTGTTGAGGTACAATCAAGCAGGCTCGTACCACAAAGATTTCCAAGAGTGCCATAAAACTCTTGCTCAAAAGTTGTTTGATCAGGATTACAACATTCAAGGCCTCAATAAAGCTTTCATATGGTTTCATGGAGGACATTTCGAAAGGATATTTTACACATCAGCAAGTTAGTGAGTAAGTTGGGTTTAGCCGCATTTAAAATTATTCCAGTTATATCACAGTGTGTTAGCTTAATGTGGAAAGCCCGAAGTGATGCAGGTCTCAGACATTTACCACTACGATGAAACCCATGAGCACAGGTATGGTGCTAAAAAACCCAGAAACCTAGAAATATAATCGGGGCGAACTGGGATTTGAACCAACAATCATAGGTTTCTGGCATGCCCAAGAGACACCATTCTGCACAGCGAATCGCGGCGCCTGGGCCACCCGTGCCCCCCCCTTACGCATCAGTGACGAAATGCAATTCCTTATCCCATGGTTTTTCAGGTGAATAATTTACTTGCCTTTGCATGTGTTTGTAACATGTGCCAGGACATGCTCACTGAGATCATCACTATTTGATAGTTATTCAGTGATTTTGTCACATTAATTTACACACAAAATTATCAATCATACTATGATTTCAATCTACCAGTTGCTATCAATAAATCATAGAGTTACCAATTACAATCAAATTCTGACAATTTTCCGGGTAGCTAATATTTGGATATATATCATTTTACATGTAATTATATATTCTGTACACGATTATCAATCATACAATGCTACCCATCATTAAGTTGGTATTGCAAAG